AGTCAGATCCAGCCCTACTCAACACAGCTGAGGGGCAAAGAGCAGCAGAAGCTGCACAGCCAGCACTGAAGTCATCAGAGAGGTCACCAGCAGTGCTACAAGCACAGGAAAGGCAGGACACAGAGCAAACAAGTGTTGCTGGAGTCAGTGGCTCACTCAGCAAAGTTGTCTGGGAAAAGCTTCTTGTTCTCCACATACTTTTACAGGTGTGGTACCTGTAGCCTTGAAAGTTTTTATGGGTCATCTTGAAGGTAGTTAGATTTAGTGTAGGTACTGGGAGCAGGAAATATTATTCTCCTCTGTCTTTTCAGTTACATAAATCAGGGCAAAGTAGATTTTGGAACAATTATGTCAATCACAGTATTTAAAAATCATTTTGCACCATTTAATACTGGCACTTACGCACTATGCAGAACGGAAACATCCTCCATGAGCATTACCTCATACAGGTAGTACTCATTGCCTACTGAGCAGTATGAGTAGGAGAAACAATCACAAATTTAGAAGAAAAACACATTTATACTTGTAAAAAATTTGCAGTGTAACTATACCTTTTGAAAACACTTTTTGACATTGAAGCCCATGGATGCAATGCAAACCAAGTGGGTGATAGGAAGAGCCATGTCTGATTATGTGGAATTGTTCAAGTGGCGATGTGAGATTCTTGTTCAGTAGTTTGGAAGAACTTGAACTCAATTTTAGTGCATCTTCTTTTGAGCAGGATGCAACTAGTCGTCTAAAATGTCCAGCTTTCAGAAGCAGACTATGACATATTTTTAGTCATCTTAAGTTTTCCTATGTTTGTCTGATATCTTACAATCTTCCTGCAAGCTAGAGTCATCTCAAAAATAAAAATTCCATCTAGGAGAACAGTCTACTTTGCTAGTTTTGATGTAAAAACATGAATTGCTTTCATACCTTTTTCCTACATGAGTACACTAAGCACCACGCTTTAGGTTTTGGTATACAGGCCAACTGCACCTGCACTACAAGCACTTTGCAGGGGCTGAAGTAGGGAAAATTCATGGTTGCCCTCATCCATTTGTTCACCCTGTGCCAGGCTCAGTGCAACTGCAGAACACTGGTGGGGAGATGAGAAATGCTCCTGGTGATACCTGTGACCTAGGGAAACCTCTGTGGTGATGGAGGAAGAAGGACAGAAGAGCTCCTTGTGTCACAGCTGGATGTGTCATTTTCTTGTCCCAGCTTTTCCCTCTGTTAAAAGATTCAGGGTAAGTTTGCTCTCTCTCTTTCTCTCTCTCACACCGGCCAGGGATATACCAAAAATCAGAAATAAGACACAGAGAGCAAAAGAAATGAAAATTCTTAAACATTCCAGTAGTAATAATTGGTCTAAAAATATATACTTTCTGCATGAAGCGAGGAAAGGGGAGAATGAGGTCAGTGTTTCTGCTAGGTTTTATGTATTAAATTTGTACCCCTTCAGCATCTGGAACAATATGGCCACACAGGCCTCTTTTAAACCAGCCAGTCCTGTTACCAAGCCAGATCTCCCCATTGAAAGGGATTAATCCCAGCACAGTTGCACTCCCACCAGCTGCAACTCTGCCTCTCACCCTTGTGCTGGTCCACACTTGCACCCAAGCTAGATGTCACTGCGACACAGCCGTGGATGGGCTGATACAGGGTTGTATGATGGGTCTTGTGGATGGGGTATGCAATCAGAGAATGACACCCTCCTCTACAGGGGCAAATTTAGGAGCTCAGTTCTCAGACCTCCTGTGTCCTTTTTTTATAGCAAAATCCCAAATAGTTGCTGATTTAAATAACAACCATATTTGAGGACAGCCATATGTTTGTTAAATGGAAGATCCATAATGAACAAATAATAAACCTAATAGTATAAATAATATAACTATAGACAGTTGGCAGATGACAGGCAGCAGGACCATTATGTGGGGAATCTGATTTAAGCAGAACAGGATTTTTGGCACCTATTCTGGAATGCAACACCTTATCCCACTAAAATACTTATATATTTAACTTCTCACTTCTTCACATAGAAATTACGTAATCATTAAAATACAGTATCATCCTTAGTAATTTTGAGTTCATCATCCCTTAAGTCATAGATTTTACACATCTTCTCCTCTACTATGGTTTGCTTGATAATAGTATTTTCTATATATACTTTTAACTGTAACTATTATGAGAGCTTTGAGTAGAAATACAAAACAAGAACATACACTTTACCACAGCACAATAATGAATAAAAACCACAGAAATTTGTGTCTAAGAGCTTTTCATGTGCAGTGTGACTAGGTGTCTCTTTACTGCATACATTTTTAGTTCAGTGACATAGAGTTAGCTTGTGGCATTTCTCACTTTTACCCTTGTTTGAATTCTCAAAAATTTCAGATTCTTCTTATTTTTTTTCTTATTTTAAGTTTTTTTAATAGTGTAATGTGCTCACATGTTTTGAATCCTTTTATTTGGAAGTCTCCCAGAACTGTATCACCAGTCTCTCTTTTTATTTACCTGTGAAGTAAAATTTTCCTTTCCATTCCTCCAGAAGTCATAAAACAGTTGTAGGTTAAATAAAAATATTTAACGTGTATCACAGGTCTTCCTGATATACTGCCAGCTATCTCCCACAGACATCCTTTTTGAGCTGTCTTTGCTTTACATCATCTCATGGCATACTGGATGGCAACAACAAGCACCCGTCTGCTCACATGTTCTTAGGACGGGTGCCCATAGAAAGGAAATCCCTGTAGATAAGAAACCGCATAAAATCGGAGAACAACCAGAAAGGAAAATAGTCCTAGATCTATTTTATCTTTGTTACAAACCCAGTCAGCCTAGAATGGATGCTAGTAGTAGCAAATGAGACCCCACAGTGCATGTGAAAGGGCTCCCCTCTCCAACACAAATGCTCTTTTCTTATTTCATTCCCTGTTATTTTTCCCCTTGCTCCCTGACAGAAAGATGTTCAAACATTCCCATTTTAGGGATGGATCTAAGCATAAGAAAGGCCAAGGTTCCCCCTGATTACTTTTACAATAAGAGGCATCCTAGACTCCATGACATCTTAGCTGAGGATGCCCATAGCTTTTTATATTCAGAACAGATCACTAATCATTCAGAAGACTTTTCTGCCTATAATTTGCTAATACTATGTTTAGTTTTTGTTTTTCAATCAGTTTTTTTGGGAACACAAAACAGAAGAACATAGTTCTTCTGCTGGCAGGAAGAAGATATGTCAATAGTTACATTTCTTTACTGAATCTTCAGGGGCTAAACCCCAAAAAATCCATATGGTCTTTGGCATACACCTTTTCCTTACCTATCCAGGACCAAAGGGAAGAACAGTAGAACATATCACTGTCCAGAAATACTTAGAGCAAGCAGCTGCCCAACAACGGTAAAGAAATTTCCCAGGATTTCGTGGGACTTGTTCCTACTCCAAATGCAGATATATCACTAGGAGGATATAGTAGGTCCTGTGAAACTCTACCTTCATGGTTCATTTTAAACTCCCTTTATGCATAAGTTCTGCAATGAGATTGTTAGAAAATTAATCTATACTTGATTAATTCTCTCATCTCTACTTGAAGCATTAGCTGCTTCAGTGCCTTTTTCCTGTGTCATATGCATTGTCATTTTGGCTACCCACAGTGGAGCCTTACTAGCTCTGTGATGTTTTCCTTTTCACTTCTCAAACGCGGAGAAGACAGTTCTCAAATCCCCTCCTTATTTTCTTTCTTATGTGATATTTCTTTGCATCAGAACAGCCTAACAGCCTCATTAAGAGGAGTAAATGCACAGATAGATAGGTGGTATCAGTCGTTAATAGTTACTGAACAAAAACAGGGAGAAAAACAGTTTATCTCGTCTCAGTCAGGTTCTTGATCTGCTCTGGACTCACCACACTACACAAGAGCGCTCAATGACGCAAAATGTACATAAGAAAGGTCTGTATGTTACTAAGTCTACAGAGGTTAGTCATACTGCAGGTGTCGCAATGATCAGGGAAGCACTTTTAGCGTCCAAGCGAACTTATTTTTATAGCCACACTCCAGTTATGTTTCTGCAACACTGAAAAAATTATATCTTACTATAACTGAGGTATGTCTACAAAAATGAAGGGTTTTTTTAAATGTTCAATGTTGTTTTCTACTGTGTTGCCTAATTTCATTGGTGAGTAATAAATTGTGTCTCTTTTGGGAATCTTCCTCGCCCAACACCATCTGAGTCAAAAAGTTGCCGATTTCCAAATATATAAACAAATAAATAAAAAATTGTACATATAAGACAGAAAAACAACCTCTTAATCAGCAGTTTGGCCTATTATTATGCTCAGCATGTGCTAACAATACCTCCTGGCAGGCTCATACTCCGATTCCCTGTGCATGCCAGAGCCTGATTGAAAGATAGATCTTAATTGCTACTGCTGTCCAGATCAAAAAAGGAGTGCCTACTTCTTGCTAAGGATTTACTCACTGGACAAGTACCTTAAGACAGAATAAAAACACTGAATTATCAAGGATCAGGAAAAAGAAATGTCAAACAAACCAAAGGACTTGTACAGGATTCACTATGGGGAAATTTGGGGTTCTGCCTGTGTTTTCAGCCCTTTCACATCCATAGTTCCCACTTCTCTTAGGAGCTGAGATGGTTTGCAGTGTGTTGCTCCCAGAAATGTCCTCCCTGAATGAATTCCCCCTGTAGCTTTACGGCACATGTCAGTCAGACAAACATATGTTTGCAAGACCTGTTTAGTAATTTGATTAACTGCAGATGTCAAGAACTAAGACAAAATAATACAGCACTCATCAGATTGAATGTGGTTAACTAGGTTGCATTTAGTTTATTAATTTCATTCATATACATAGATGACTTTGAAAGCACCATGTGAAATAGTCAAGATAAAGTATAAGAAAATGTCACAGGAAAAGATTTCTATATGCAATGTGTCAGTGTACCTACTGTGTTTCATACATACTTTACATTGAAAACCAAAAAACCCACAGTTTTCAGAGGATATACACACTTTATTTTGAAATGGCTAGTTTCATTTATTGATATGTAAAAAAATAAATCTACAATAGCAACAGTGCAAACACATCAGAACTTGCATGGCATACAGAACACAAATGAATAAAAATTATTATACAAAGAGCTCAATGTTTCCTATGCTACTGGTTATGATGTGTAACACAAACAACAGGGTGAGGAATAAACTGCAACTTAAACAGGAAGATGAGCTGCATATTACTGGCTCTGTCTTGTATGGTCTCTCTATTTCAGGGGGTAAAGCTGTCATGCCTTGGATCTGCAATTAAAATAACAAAAAATGATCAGAGTTTTGCCACATAGGATTAGAAAACTGTATTTTGCTCTTAAGCTAGCTGGAGCTTGCATGAGAATCTATTGTTAGTTTTGTACTGGGGTTATGACTCTTATTGTGGAGACATCAAACTCAGCAAAAATATTGATATATTACATGCCAAATGATCAGCCAGTGTGCACATCCTATGTTTTCAGCTCAAGAGCAGCTGTGTACACTGGTATCCTCTCCAGTAAAGCAAGGTTATGCCGTGGCTGGTTGATTTGAGAGACCTTTTCTTGCTTTGTAGGATTGTTTGGTTGGTTTGGTTGTTGTTTGCATCCTTCTGGCAGAAAAAATTGGAAGTTTACAGTGGCACAGTGCTACAGGGATATAGAATGATATCTGAATATGTTCATTTCTATGTACAAGGTTTACACTTCCATGTACAAAGCAGCTAATTGTGTACACAGTATTTCACGGAATCACAGACTGATTGAGGTTGGAAGGGATCTCTGGAGGTCTGGAGGATCTAGAGGATCTCTGGTCCTATGTCCTTGCTCAAGCAAGGTCACATACAGCAGTGTCATGTTTCTATAAACTGAGCGTTTTACACTTTCCCCTTGAAAGTCAGTGGAATTTTTATTGGGTTGGACATAACTACATGTTTTTTATGGTTCTGACATACAGTTAGAGACACTTGTATGTGCTGCGTGGCTTGCTTTTCCTAAATGTACTCCCTACATATTAAAGAAAATAATCTCTACAAAAGCAAGCTCCTGGGCACAAACACTTTTCAAAGTCTGAATGTCCACCTGTACAGCATGTGCTTGCTTTGGGTTTTTTTCCATGTTCAATTGTTCTGCACTGCAGAAAAAAACCCAAACACCTAAATATTGACTTAATCTTAGCAAACACAACACAAAACTAAAACTGAACAAGGGACCATTACTATAGAAGGATGAAGGTATTTTCAACGCAGTTCCTCTGCTTCAATTTTTAACAACTCACAGACTGTTTGGCCATTCACGTTAAATTTACTCTTGATTTTGATTCGAATGGTCATTTTAGTGTAATATCACTAACAAGTGAAGGGAAAGGAAGGAGTCCTAATCTTAGCTTTGATGAATACGCCCTATTCATTTGAAATAGGAAACCATGATTAAAAGGAAGAACTAAGAATACCCAGTTCAGTGAGCTCATTCTTTGACTATGTTTTTTAAGTGTTGCTCCTTCATCCTGTAAGATAGAGAGGAACAGCATTTTCCAGAAAGTATACCATTAAAATAAGAGAAAAACCAGCTTATTCCTGCTTGATAAAATTTCTGTCATCATCTTAACTTGTCGTCTGACAAATAATCAGTGAAAAAACAGATATGCAACTGCTACTGCTCAGTTGTAATGATCAAGAAGTTTACCCCAAAATGGTGAATAATCACCCTAATGATGACAGCTTTTCCCAGCAGTCCTGGAAAAATACCAGTAGACATTTAGAATAAATAATAACTTACTGGGCAATTATTTTTTATTTTACAGGCTATTTTCATCAAGAGAATAGGGAAGGGAAACCTACAGAAGATAAAATCTTACAAAGGTTCACAGGGGAAACAGACAATCCAAATGTACTTTCTTTGGCCCAAGACTATAGACCATTCTATGACACAAGACAAACAGAAAAGCAAAAGATATTGGAAGAGTACTCATTATAACTCTAGATTGTCTAGATGCCTGAGTTAAGAAAGTAGATTCTTGAGGCTACCTTATGCAGTCAATAAACTTATCCCTAGAAGGTGACTCAGAGAGGAAACCGGATTTGGGGATCTTGAATCACCCATCTCAAGACCCTAACATAAGTCCCTGACCATGAAGGCAGCCAAGGAAAAACAGCTTCCTGACTCAGTCACGTAATCCGGACATGCGTGGTTACTCTCTGACCAATCCCAACCACACTGAAAGACTCCATTCTTCTATTACCGGTCCCAAGTGCTGATCAAAGCTCCAACTTTTCTCTTTAAATGCTTCTAGAACACAAGTTAGGTGAAAGCATTGATAAAACTTTCTCATCATTTGTTATTGTATGTAAATGTAATATAGCCATGTAAACATTCTAAAGAGATATAACCAGATATTTATTCATATACAATGAAAGAGAGTAAATCACATTTGTTTCACGACATTGTTGCTTCCTTTTCAACACACAGACTTACCGACCATTCTGCATTATCTGTTTTTGAACACCTCACGTTCACAGGTAGTTTAAGAACAAGTTTATTATAGGAGAGACCCTCTGATCTGGACCATTTGAATTTGTTCATTGCATCCATAAAAGATAGGTTTTTATATTGCTTAGGACTCTTGATAATGAAAGGCCAAGTCCTAAAAAAAAATACAAATAATTACAATTAGATTTAAAAAAACCCAAAACATAAATACTATCAAGTTGGAACTGATGAGGAAAAGCTTTTGGAGAATCTACTCAGAAAAATAAACGTACTATTACTGTGTATATTATGCATAGCTCACATTCACAGTTAAGTTCTATTCTACTGAAAAGCGAAGCAGTTTCATTGATTTTAACAGACTTAGGACTCTTTAGGACTTGCTGCCAGACGCTTTTAGAAATGAAGGACTTCAAGAGTTACATTGCTGTTCTCTGATCTACAAACTGAATACACAAAACAGATCTTCTGCTGTAACTTCTCAAAAAAAAACAAAACCAAAAAAACCCACACCCTCTCTGAGGCTTGGCAGGCTGGGTTGCCAAGAAACATTTGCCATTAGAAAGCTGCTTCCAGATGGTTCTGCCAAGCTCTGGTCATAACTCAGATAATAGGTCAAAACTGAGCCTAACATCACAGGAGTTGCTCTGACGTGCACTGGTTGGCAGCAGAGAATAACTGTTTGTGTGGACATTGCCTTTTGGCAGGTTCCTACATGCTGGCTGCAAAGGGAGTTTTGGCCAGAGGTTGTATAGAAAGACCTGCTGTGCTGCTCTATTGCCCACATGTGGGAACCTTCCCATCAACAAATGGGGAAAATCCCACTCCCCACCAGCCAAAGATGTGGAAAGGGAAGGAATGAGATTTCTTGTCTTTCGTTTAGTAAAGAAAATTAAAAAATAGTAACAAAGGAAAATTAGGAAAAAATCCAAAACAAAACTAAAGAAAACCTTTTCCATTCTTCCTGCTTTCTCCTTGTTTGACTCTACTGGGATGAATGAAAACAATATGGAGGACAGGTCAAGTTCTTAAAAACATAAAGTCCAATACAGCTAGTGGAAGAACAAAAGTATTCAAAACTTTATCTAAGTAACCTAATTAATATTTTGGTTGGAGCATGAGTTATCTTTTCAAAGCACTTTAGATAACACTCTGTCTTATCTTGCAGTAGGCTGTCTCCCACTTGCTTTGGGTAAATTGCCTATGCCAGAGTTCTGTGTCCACTGTGTTCTTGATGTCCACTCAGCCTCTAGGTATCGAGCATATAATTTTAATCAAGCACCTATTTGACACTATTGTGGCCCAATTACTTTCATCTGAGCTCCTCATGATTTAAACCACTGAAGAAAAATGTCCTAAAGTGAGCTACAGTGCCTTGTTCCTGCTTCCAGTTTGTCTTTGTGTGTAAATCGAGAGAGACTTTAGAGGAGTCAGTGAAGCAATTCTAGTGTTAGACTGACACAAGAGAGATGAGTATCAGGTCACATATCCTTAGGCTGACAGAGTTTAATGAAACAAGAACTGTGGATTAGGTCATAAATACTAGAGGCATTAATAATCTCCTCTTCTAATTACTATTCCATTTGTGGCAGACAGTCTGCATACTTAGTCTATTCAGAACATCCTTATTTCCCCAGGCCAAATGTGCATTTTTTCCTTAAGTACAGTTATCATGAATGAACACTCAAGAGAGCATATATTTGTTAGAATATTTTCTTTCTAAGTTCAGAGAGACTCTTTTAGCTAGGACTAATTTAGAAACTCTGTTCTCTCTGTATTAAAAGAGGTTGTAAGTGGAAATAGTGTGGAAAATTAAGTAGACATTCATTGCACGATGCATTCCTTCAAACTCTTCTTTCTTGAATATAAATTTCAGAACTAAGACCACCAAGCCTGTACATCAAATTATTTTGCAATAATAGTTTTATATGTTTTGTTAAGATAAACTGTGTAAGGAAAGACAATTTTTAAAATGTAATTGCGGTGACACACTAGTAGTCTATCCATTTGATTTTAAAATCTTGCTATTACCTTAATTTAGTGCAACTAACAATACAAATTTAATTCACCTTTCACTGCTAATAGTGCATTTTACTTTTTACTGTTTAATTTTTTTTCTGCATTTCATTCATATGGGAACTTTCCTCTTTTGATTGTTCTCACTGTTTACAATCACTTCCACTCTTGATCTGCTGTTGAGGTGCTTTAATTTTAAGCATTATGAAGGAGACTTAAAACTTGAAATAAACTCTTTATTGACTTTTATATATTCAAACAGATTTAACCTGTCTATACTGGACTTCCTCCTATCTTCTAGCAAAATTTAAGTTTTATGTTAGATTCTGGAAATCATTCTTAATGAGTGATATTGTTGTGCAGGTTATCCCATTGACTTAAAAAACAGAAAAGGCAGATTCAACAGCAAACTGGGAAGCATTTTGTGAACAATATAATTTTTTTAAAAGGATAAGCTGCTTTCCTATCAAAAGAAAAAAAAAGGCAGAGTAATTTGGCAGGAAAAATACTTATCAGCACAGCATATTGATCAAAAGAAAGCAGCATGAGTGACCATGTTGCACTACCAGAAAGAAAAGCTGTCTAAAAATTATTCTATAGGCCCATAGACAGAAGTAGAGGTGCTACACATATTCATAAACATTTTGCATACCTGACTGGTCTATAGATTTCCTTAACTCCAATGAACTGGAGCTGTTCCATTATATCTGGAATACTTGCACATCGGGTGAGGTTGATTCTTGGGTAATAGAGCAGATATGACAGGCACATTTCATTCCTGGTGCTCAGACCACCCTGAAAACGGGATTTTTCTTTTAATCAAGGTAGCGTTGTAATCCCACAGATGAAACCACTGATTAGCATTTATATGCTAATGAAATGTGTGTCAGGAGACCAACTCAGCAAGTTTATCTTGTATGCTAGGTTATCAAGTAAAAAGAATTATCACATAATTAATTACAAAATATTTAGCAAGCTCAAGCAATAGCTTCTAAGATAAAAAGACATCAGAAAGAACAACTATGAATAAAATAAGACTCATATTATGTTGAAGAGTACTATCTGAGAAGTTCAGGTTTGCTTTCAGTTGTCTCCAAGGTACTTATATCAACCATGTTTCAGAAAAGGGCTTCAAAGTGGAACAGAGGTAGAAAAAATCTGTAGGATAATTGATCTGTTAAATAAGAAATTAAGTAGCATTGCCTAGTAAAATGGAGATTGGGATGGAATATGTATCTCTCTGGACTCTGCTTATAAGTACTCAGGAAAATAAACAGTAAGAAAAAGCTCAATTATTTCTGCTAACAGACAATGTTGACTCAAGAAAAATGAGCACTAATTATAAAAGAATTAATTAGAGTAACATTTCTAGAAATAGAATCTTAAATACTCTTCCATTGAGTACCATGGTGCAAACAACTAATTTAAAATTAATCTTGGTAAATATGGAGAAGATTATGTGCTACATAATCCTAAATCCTGTGTGGGTACAGTTCCACAAATATCATGGAATCACAGGAATGGGAATGGAGAAGACAAAACACATGAACCAGAGGCCAAGAGCTAGTGTGGTCACCGCATAGAAAAACAGGACAAAACCTCAACACCCTCCATTCTTGCTATTTTGTTTCTTAATATAACTACTGCATGTGCCTACATGCAAGCCATGATTCAAGGAGAAGTATCCCTGAGCTCACTGGATGCCAGGAACAGTTCTTCCCTGCAGAACAGAAACCCCTCAGGTCTCACCTCCTAGAGGTCTGGAACCAGTCCCTCCCCAGTAAGCAAGATCAGACCCAGGCGAAGGCAGCTATATGCCTCCCATAGCCACACTGGGTCTGGCATCACTCTACATTTTTTTAGCCAACTGATACAGTCCAGCTCATGTGCCAACAACCAAATTTCTTTTACCTCCAAAACCAAGTGGCTGCATCACATTGGCCAGTGCCAATCTCTAAAGCTGCACCTGAGAGACTGCACTGACGTGTGCCAAACCTGAGCTGGACCCCCTTGATGGGGGAAGGGTCCTTGGCTCCTCTTCCCAGTCCAAAGGAGCTGCATTCTGCCTGGGTTCTACATTCAGCACAAAACTAAACAGTCCAGTAACATCCTGGTCATATCTTAAGTAAAAATCAATACATAAGAACTGGCAGTCACAATGTCGGGGAAAAACATGTAGTAAGTCCATAAAAATAATTCATTAGAATTTGCAGAATTTGCATGTAAATACATGTTGTGATGAAAGTATTCCTTATACTAGCAAAGTTTGACTTTTAAAGATTTTCTGTGAGCTGAAGTGCTTATTGTTATAAACTAGTCATATGAATGCCTTATGCAAGAGATAAGACTATGATCACAATCATTCAGAAGATTTAAAAACCTAAGAATCTACGAAAGATAATACATAATTACATGCACACAGGCCTTAACAAGTAAGTTCGTTTTTTTTAAGTGTTTTATGAAAAAGGTTTTAGTCTGCAATATTGTCTGTGTACTTATTTTGATCCACTAAAATATTGCTTACCCATGTCATGCGAATTCGGTCCACAGTATTGTAGTGACATTCTGTGATTAAATTATCTCCCTGGAACACAAGATTTAGAAAGTTCACAGTTTTGAAGCTTATCAACACCAACTTCAGGTAATCACAGATGACAGTGAGCACTTAAGAAATAAACATCAGAGCAGTGGATATGACTTTTTCAAAGAGAAGGGTTAAGTAATTGCCCTATGCTAAGGCCTCGGTACTTAGCATTCATATTATCCCAGATTCTCAGGGAACCCCCATGGATTTAAACAGAGTCTTATTAAGACTGTTGCCTGCATTTTTTTTTAAATAGCAGTGAAGGTGCCCAGTTATCATCCAATTTCTGGAAAATTATATGCTAGATGATGCATACAAATGATTCTTGCTCCAAAACTCATCCAGTGCTACTTTACTCAGGCCAGTTTATCCTGCCAACTACAGCAGAAATATTTGGCAAATGAGGAAAAGAAGGTTTTCCACATCACAAAGGCAGCTATTTCTTTGCCAAGCCTGGGAGTAGAGGAGTGGCAGGTAGAGACTTCACTACATTGACAGATATGTATGGGAAAGACTTAATACTTACCTTCTCAAGTGCATACAATTACCTTTTTTGGTACCTTGACAAACTGATCAACTGTTTGCTAATACCTTTACTCCCTGTACCTAATCAACTACAAATCTCAAAATCACCACAATAACCAAGTGGAAATTCAAGTATTCAAGAACATAGCCAGACACCAAAAACCTGGTATTTTGGTCAACTTCGTGTCATAAGGATGCCAGATGTTTGTTTGGTTTGGTTTATTTTTCTTGTATCATCATCTTCCCTTATCACCCATTATACTTCCCTGAAAAAAATCAGATCACCCTTTAAAGGCTTAGATTTTCTCCTTTCCTGAAGGCTGTCTCATCACCAGATAAATGCCAGCAGGGTCTGTACTCCAGACCGCTGGAAGAAGGTGTGTCAGCCTCATGTCAGCCAAATGGAGATGGAGGTTTCTGAAGCAGCAAGAACTGGCATTGCTTCACTACTTCCAGCAGAAATATGCTGGTTCCCACCAGAAAGATCTATGGTTTTCATAGCTTATGGACTGTATAAGGTTCACTAAAAGTGTTCCTTCCATGTTATTCCATCTCCTGCTTCTAAACGGAGAAGAGTGTGTGAGCATGTGAAGAAAGCAAATAAACTGGACTCCACAAGCTAAAAGAAGGATACACCCTTGGAAGAGCTTCTGGGAAGTGAGAACTTACTTAAAAGTAGAACTTACCTAAAAAATTTATTATTATTAGTTAATTGATTAGACTGTTACCTGAATTACACCAGATGATGTGTGCAAAGCTGCATTGGTAGTTTTGCATAAGATAAAAGCAAAGAAAGGCTTGAAAAAAGGCTCTCCACTCAAGGTGGGGGTATTTTCATGTTGCTGATACTATCAGATACCTTTTTTAGTCTTTATGCTGTCTACTCCCTTATGTTCTTGAATTGTAAGAGGCCTTCCTCTATAATCTGCATAGATTTTCCTAAAAATATTACAGGCTTTCTCTGCAAACCTGTTATCTTCTGCCAGCCTTCTTCCTAAACCTTTCAACACTTCTTTCCTGAAGGAGGTAACACCAGTTTGTCTTTGAAGTCTCTGTAGAGTACAAGCAGTTTGACTTCAAAGAGTAAATGCTGCACTTGAACATCCAGGTTTTGCTGTAGAAATTAAACTAGAAATTTAGCATTTTAGCTTCTTACCTTTAAAGTACAAATATCAAAGTATCCCAGTGTGGGAGAAGAGACAGAAGAGACAAAGAGACTTGAAAAGAAGCCTGGAAGTTTAAAACCATGGGGCTCCTGACTATACTTGAAGTTCAATGATTTCATTGGTCTTTTCTGACATTTTGTGTCTGATCAATTCTATTAAGTAACAGGCTTGTTCCCATGCACCAGGACAAGCTTCTCTGCTGGCCAGATCTGGAGCACCCAGAGTGTGCAGCACTAAACTTTCTGTCTTCAGGTCAAAACCTCAAAAAATATGCTGGCTGGAACTAATAAAAGATGAGTGAATAATTTTTAAGTGAATGACTCACCAAAAAACCCAGACTCTTTTCATGCGATATCTGTGGATAGCTACTGCTTCATAAGATAACTGTAGCTGGAAATTTTCTATAAGTTATGTTACGCTATTTTCACAAGTATAATAGATAGAGTTGTATGATTTCTTTTTCAAAAGGGTTGTGTTTACAAGTGAAACCTCATGTGGAAGATAAGCATGGAGCTTTCCTTCCAACAACAACAAAAAATGTGAAGCAAACAGAAGATACGGCTGATTTGTAGACATGTTTGCAAGGCTGGACATTTGCTGTGTGAAAAAACTGACGATGTGCTTCTTGGTTCCAACAGCTCTGTAAAGCCATGCATTGACATTTCCATTATTCATCTTGCTGAATGCACAACGATGGCACAGCCAGGCACATGTCGGATTTGCTAATCTGCTATGTTCAAACATTTGTGATAGTAAAGTTCTAATCAAGTAATTATGGATATCAAACATACTCGAAGAATAGCTTGAATTGATGGACCAAGCCAGTTCTGTGGTGAATTGTGTGGACACTCCTGAGATAACGAAATTTTAATGCATTAGTCTGTGATAAGTGGAAAAACTAACAAAACATTCAAAAATTCTATGATGCAATGATAAGAAATTTTGTAGCAAAATTAATCCTACATGTGAGAAAATGTTAGGCACATGATCTCTTAAAGAGTTTACGGGAAAGAATGAAGTGTGTCATACTGGCAAGATGGTTCTTTCTTCTTTCAGATACTGAAACTCCTGGAAGTTGAAGTCAAACTCATCATCATAAGCAAGCAGCTTCTGCTCCTCGCCATTATGGAAGTGGCGCATCCTGATAGCTCTGCCAGCAAGATGTGCATGAAGAAGGACCGCAAACACTTGAATCCCAGTAGGTCTCTCAGCACCTAGAGCCTGGCCAAGGGAAACCACTATTAGTGTGCCCAAATGCAAGGTAATGTCATGTAATGTAATGTACAGAGTGAAAATATATTAATTAATGCATTTTGCATTCACGCAGTTTACTGCAAAATGTAGTCTAGACTGAAACCAAACCTGTATGTGAAATTAAGGTTGTATACACAAAAAAAAGAAGGCTAGATTTTTTCTGTAATTTTTTTTTACAAAAAACTCATGGTTTTACTCCTAGTAAATACATTTTTTAATGAAAATCAGCTAGACTGCAAATTATTCTTAACAGTTTAAGACTTCCAAGGGAATCATACTATAAAACCTGCACATTATTTTAGTGCTAATGGCTGATACTGGAGAATGTGGATTTTTATTGTGAAAAACATTTTCTATGTAGTTATGAATGATGTCATCAATACCGTGCCAAGAGATGCACTTAAAATTGAGAGGCTGTAATTATAATATACTCTATTTCCCATCTTCAAGTGAACTGGTAGTGAAATACTGTAAGTTCACATCTGAAATTTTTTCCAGGTCAAAAACATTTGAAAATTAACTTTTCCAAATTGATACAAATCTGACATCACTCCCATTCTAGCTGAGATCTACAGATCTAAACTTCCAGTATGCTCAACCTTAGTTCTTATTCAGAGGTTAAGGTAGAAATAATCTGTTATCGCAGTACCTTTCAAGAATAGCCTTAGGGTCAGAAACCTCATGATAATAGATTATTCAAGCTGAAAAATGCTAGGAGAATATGCAATATTTAACACCTCCAAGAAGAAATCTAAATTCTCTATCTAATTTGACCTTCATAGTAAACTAAGTTCTTGATTCAACCTTTCCCTATAAAGGACAAAGTATATGAGAATCAACCATGATACATTAATCACAGATCTTGGACAATGCTTCCATTACCTGCAGAGATATTTAAGTTATTTTAATGAAACCAAGTATTTAATAAATGCATAATTGTACTTTGGGCCATACAACAAAACCTGGTCAGGTCTTTATTTTCTGTGGTTGGTCTAAGAACCTTTCAGGCTTTACCTCATCATTAGGAGCCTTTTGCACATGCACAGGTCTGAATTAGTTTCAACATTTTTTCTGGGCTAGGTATTCCAAGTTGTTAATAGCTTTGCCATGGAAAGCAGTGTATGCTTATATATTCAACACAAAATTAAAACATTGCAAGCACTGTGTCATCCAGTATTACTCATGTAAGTAAAGCAGCTTGAATATTGAGTAGTCTAAAGACCCATTTCAAAAAGACTCAGCATTTTGGACAGCAAAATGTACTACCAGATGCCTTTGCTCACATCAATCTTCCCAAGAAGTTAAAGTGACTCTAAAACTATTTCTATGAATGAAAACCAATGGATTTAGGCAGGGGTCATACCTCTTCCAGACATTCCAGTGTGCAGTGACCCTCTGACACAAATTCGGGCATGCCTGGTGGGATATTGTGGAAGAGGCTGACCCAAAGACCAGCTTCAATAACTCCAGCATCATATTTCCTTAAAACTGGAGTATAAATTAGCCTCAGACCAGAGTTATCTATCAAACCTGCAACAAAAGAACACAGTGAGCCATGGCTATAAATCTGTTTTTCAAACACAAAAAAAACAAAACCAAATTGTTTCACATTTTTCATGCTATGTCCTAAGTTTTTTACATGAAAATTGAGAAATCAACCTCAATAACCTGGAAATGAGTTCAAACTGTATTCAGGATGTAATAAATAGGGACAGTCCACAGGACAGTTTTTAAGTACAGTATCTTGTTCTCTTTGGTGTTTAGATGTGAAGGAAAAATATGTACTCCCTGTAGCCTTCCTGTCCCTTCCACTGAGATATCTAACACGGATTTCAGGGAAAAGAAGATAAATCACAGGCAGAAGAAACAATACAAGGAAATAATCAGACCTCAAAAGGTTCCGTGTATGATTTTCATATTAAATATTTAAAGCAAAGCTTAAAACTTTTGTGTTTTATTGTCTTAAAAATTATCTTCTGCTTATGAATTTTATCTATTTCTTTGCCTGGAGTCCTAGCATTAATTATATTTTTCCTTTGCTTAGGATTGCCTGTTACATTACAGCATACCTCAAATGACAAAATATACCCCTTTTACAATCTCTCAGATTAAGAGTATCAACTAAACATGAACATTTGCTTACTGAATCCCAAACCTGTACATAATACCAGTACCTTGAGTGCAGCAGACAAGAGAATTACAGAGTATTTTAATGCTGCACTGTCTCAAGAACTTCTCTTGATTTCAAAAATTAGTTTAAAGAACAAAAGCCTGCTGTGAAGAGGATGAGTTTTTAACAGTCAAAAAGATATAATCTATTTTGTTCACCTACATATGTTTAGCCATATGTGTTTGTTTGTGTAACTATTAATAATTGTTACCTTCATCATCTAAATGCTTATAATTATTAGTCATTCGTATTAATCGAGATACACACAAAAAAGATTAATTTGTATTCGCACAATTGCTACACTCTGATAGTTCACTTTTTCTTTGTATTTATGAATAATCAGTGAAATAATTTCAAATTTGAAAATTAAAAATGCAAAAGGGTATCAAGTATCTCAGAGAAGGTAAGAGGCTTCCTAATGACCTATATTAGTCTTCTAAAATACATAACAGACATAGCAGTGCCTGAAGCCAAATTTTACACCAATATGATATTAGCAGTCTATTTTAAGATAAGCAAATAGCAGAGGGACACAGCAGGGATTGTTATCCAGTCACTAAAATATCTAAGATGGAGTACTGTATATAATTATTAAGGAACAAAGAATATGAACTATGTATAGCCAATTAAAAATGGTAATCAACCATTCTGCAATATATGAATCATGACATTTATGATGATATATCCTATCCCACAACATCACAACTTTAGTATCCGGGAATCCAAAATCACTCCCTTTCTGGAGCTATCCATAAAATCTCATCAACTTGGATTTTTCCTTTTTGGAATTTCTCCCTCAAACTGGTTGCTAACATCTAAATGTCAGAGACTTTTATGCTCTGTCAGAGTTTCTGATAAACAATCTGAAAAGAGGCCATCTTTCAAATGAAAAGTTAAGAACTACAAAATCAGAAACATCCACATTAAATTAAAAATGTTTGAACTGCTCCTGACTGGGAGCCAACAGTGACTGCCAATCTGAGTCACTCAGGAAAACATTACCCCAGGTCACAAAGTGAGGGAAACAGTGCAACCTTTCACCATGAGACCCAGACTGGAAACACAGATGACAGAATATAAAACTGGAGGTCACCCAGTGGCAAGTTTGGTGTTGCGTCAGGAGAACTCTTTTGTCCCCATGTGAAGCAGATAGAGCACTCAGGTGTACGCTCTCACAGACCTGGCACAATTTTATACTGTGTATTTTGCCAGGGAGGAGGAGATGTAGGACCTGGATTACAGGTACCCTTCCCTGCCTACACTGTCTGAATTTTTCCAGGTCTTCAGTGAGATCCTGTGTTCACCTGGGAGTGTCCCTGCAATTGTCCATGTTGCTTGAAAAAGAAACAAAACATTATTGATTTCCAGCTTTTGTATGTGCCACCTGAACTAAACCAATGCTGTCATACAGCGCAGTCAATTAAAACAAAATGATAAATTTAGGGACACAGCCAAATCAGACACAGTTTTTCCACATGCGACTTCTCAGGTTTGCAGGTAACATTTGATGGAAAAGCATACAGTATCAAGGATGCAAACAAAGTTTATTGTATACTATGCAAATGTGTATGCTAAAAGGACAGAGTCTGTCACTAAATAAATAAAAAAAAAGACAGTTAATTTAGAACAACATGAAGGGGGAAATGACAGTAAGACAGAATGCCATAACCCACATAGCGGATTTTATTTTAAAACATAAGGGTGTAAAGAAAGGCCTGTACACTATGCTGTATCGGATTTTACTCAGTTCATGTATAAAAATCACCAGAATATTCTCAGGTACAGTAGCTTAACAAACTTCTGCTTCAGAACAAAAAATATCTTTTCCAAAGACAGCTTCAAAGTTCCCCTGATTTTCTGAAGTTCATTGGTTTCTTCCTTTTACTTCTTTTAAACAAAATTTACTTTCAGGAGGAACATTTAAAAAACACTGTTATAAATTTAAAGTTTATCTTATAAGACAAACTGCTTTTACCCAGTGAATGGTCTAGCAATCTGAGTCTGTACTTCAACTTCAGAAACTGCCCACAGTTCAGGTAGATTTAAAAAAGAAAAAATACTATAAAAAATTAATAAAAGGATCATTCCCTGTGTTGCTGTCTCACAGTTTGAGTGCTATGCTGTTTGTTTTCATTCTGATTGGATTTCCCAGCAAACAGAGAGAGAGATAACAAGAAGAATGTAGTGATAAAAGGAGATTTATTCACCTGGTCCCCAATTTCTTGTATACCTGAATCTCTCACTGACTTTGGGTTAAACTTTTGAGAGCAGTGAGAAAAACACTGTGAATCAGGGACTACTGATCAGGAAAAAGTAAGCCGTGGCTTTGTATTTGCTCTGTTCGCCACGCAATGCAGTGATGAGCACTTGTGCCTAGTACATTTTCCAGTGTTGCATGTTTTAAAGAGTGTGAGGCTACAAACCTTCTGTGTATGATGGATTGTCATAATGCACCTCCATAAGAACGAACAGAGGGTCAGATGCTGTGCCAATGGATAAGCCAACATGTGGAGGGTAGGTGAAGCCCTGGAAATCAATGCACGCATACAGAGTTCAGGTGTTTTTGCGATAGTTAAGAGTTAATTTCTCTTTATAAATACAATGTCTTCTTTTTACAATGATATGATCATATTAATGATAAAATTTACAAAGCTAACTTCTTTTACAGCTTTGTGAACATGACAATTTGATATAATATAGTTGTTATATGCTCAGTACACTAAATAATTCTGTCAGTATAAAATAGTAGATCCCACGATAACTAGAGGACAAAGCTCTGAGCAAACAAGCCTGACCTCACTGCTTTGAGTAGGAGGCTGGACTAGAGACTTCCTGAGATGTCTTCCAATCTGCATTATCCTGTGATCTTATGATTATTTATTCTGTATTTATTGTTTGAGAAGAAAAGGAAAATTTCATTTTAAATGTATAAACGTTGCATCATCAAACACTTAGCCTGACAATAAAACCCTTATGAAAACGTGAATCAACATTTTAAATGCTCCCAGTTTCTATGAGCAGCAATTTCCAGGTAACATTGAGGTTGCATATGATTAACTTGTTTTTCCTGCACAAATCACTGTATTCTTAGTAAAATTATTTGAACAATAAAGATGATCTTCATGGTTGCATTTACATTAGCAAGTCAATATTGCAAAAGAAGTAGTTTCTGTACCTTGCAACAGCTTGTCCTGGACCCACAGCCCCCAAATGATGCTCCTTTGGACAAGCTCTGGTCAGCCCCCATGCACTGAACCTCATTTATTGCTAGAAGGTGCTGGGTTCACCCCTGCACATTCAGTTTAACTTCATTCCAAAGGGGATTGTAAAAATTCTCAAACCACTCGCAATGATAAAAAGAGCTTGCTGAGTGGGAACAACTGGAAGATTTACTTCAGAAGCTCACTCCTGAATCAATCCAAAATGCCAGTATCTCCAAAATGAACTCATTTACCAAACTCACTGTAGTAGAAATTAATCTGCAACATTTTATAGTATATAGCTAATATTTTAATATATAATTTGAGATTCTAACTTTCTGAAATGTGCAATTTGAGATTCCAACTTTCTGATGCTTGATGGACATTAATGAATTAATTGTAATATATAGTAAAAAATATTATCACCTTCATTCGATGTAAGGGTAAACTGAAGTTAATGAAGTGGGTACTAGGTTAAACCTGAATGTACCCCAGATCTGTCAGATTCCTCTCCGCTGATCTTTAACATCGGGATCATCCTTGCAAAAGCCTCCATAGTGCTCGTTAAATGATAACTTATTTATATGAGTTTTTAATTTCACTTAGATTAAGATACTCAAAAGTACAAATACTAGGTCAGAGCATAGCTGGTGGCAAAAATGCTCAAAGCATATGTCAGGGATAATGCTCATAGTGGATTAAATGTCTTTTGATGAGTCCACGTAAGAGCTCTGACTTCCTCGCACTGCAGCACTCGCAGATGGTTTTGGACTGCAGGCTGGCAAATGAAGGCTTCAGAAACTATCATCACCCCAGTGCCTCTCTGTGCCTACACCATCATTTGTGTGGGCACACAGTGAATCATGGGGGTAAAGGGGTCGAATTCTTTTGGCAGTAATGGTGCATTATGTCAGCTGAAAGCATTAACTGGAGCCTAAATTGACATATGAAATAAGCTGAAAACACAGCCTGAGGTGAACATGGCAATCAGAGCCTATATTTTCTGTAGACATGCCCCCCTTGCCATGAGCAAAGTGGCCCTTGTGCTGGGTCAGCACTGGCACAGGGTCTCTCCTACACTGAAATGATGTCTTCTGGGGCTGCGTAGGAAACTTCAGAATGATATGCCTGAATGGGGCAACAGTGAAACCAGGTCCTGGTGAGGCACATAACTAATTACATCTATTTGAAAAGTCCTGTGCCTGTGTCTTTTACAAAGTCACCTACAGACACTGCTTTCCTTTCTGTTATTCTCCACAGGTAGCTGGTCATTCCTGGAGGCAGTGTATTTTCATACCCAACAGGACAAGCTGATACAGTGATAGATTTCCATGTTCCAAAGCTCCCCTACGGCATCTATACTATTATAATTACTTTTGGCTTGTCACTCAGGATCACCATTGCATGGTATACTTAAAAGGACAATAAGAGGTTGAGGACTTACTGATGAGGCATTTAGGGATTGTGATTGTGTACCCTTAAAAGCAGACAGATTAAGTAATCTCTAATATACTATGAAGAAACTTCATTATGATACAGCCCCTCGTAAAGCCCCACTGATGAACCATGATAGACAGACATTCATCCTACCTCTCCTCCAATGGCCCAGGCAAAAATGACTGTCTCACATGTGAGAAAAGAGTCTGGCATGTTGGGGTGGTAACATTCATGCCCATAGTCCAGCACACTGTCATTCAAATTGCTGCTGCACTGGTAAAGCAGGATATGGTGCACCAGATTCTCATGGCCTTTCTGGATCAACGGCTCAACCTGTCAAGGTTAAAATGAAAAGAAAAAAAAAAAAAAAAAAGAACACATATCTCAGTGTGACTATTTTAATGCAGGTATGAAGACAGATATAAAAATTATGCAATATATTTATTTTAAAGGGAAGACTTGATGTTATATTTTAGTTATGTTGAGATGTACTTTCAGCACTGCAAACTCAAGAAATGAAGTTGTCAAAAATTTCATTTTATCCAAGTGCATTAGTGGGGAACAGAAATAAATTCTACATCTTGACAAAACCTCTGTTACCACCTTTCTTGTTCTCTCTTCTCCCATCCCAGTCTTGCACTGTCACTTGTCTTTCTCCCTGGCCAATCTTGCTTAGCAACATTCCAGCATGAAGGGGATATAAACCAGCTAAAAGTCTGAACCAGACTGGTGTCTGAACGAGTCAGAGCTTTTCACCCCTGTTTCTGCCTCTTTTGTAGTATTTCAAATTATGGCTGCCCGTAGATTCTGTGTATCTAGGGTGAGCCTAGAGGTATACCCCACATTCTTCAGCAGCTCAAAATGGACTTTACAATTTTTTTGACATCTATGAGAAATCAGAATTATTTTAAAATCTGCTCATTTGTAAAGACTTTATTAACATGAAGTCATTCTTGAGAGGTTGGGTGTTTCAGCCTGTTTACAGCAGTGATAAGCTGGAGGGCTCTCAGTGGTGCCCGAGTGCCCCCAGTACAATTAAATCACCAAACTTCAGGGTAGGCTGAAATTATTTAATTCCCATATAAGTGTTCACCCTCTATTTGGATGGATGATGTTAAATCATCTCTGTCAGAGATTATGTCCCTGGGGTAAACATGAATACTTTTGAAAAAAATTATTTTGCTTTTCAGAAAGATCATATTCCACAAAATATCAGCATATAGAGGATAGTATTAAAATGAAAGGATTTTTCCCTTGCCTTTGCCTTCAAAGATTTCATCACATTCTATCATATTTACCTTCAAACTGAATAAAATAAACATTAATATTTTTACAAGAAAAGTCAAGCTTTGGCAATGCAACTTTTAAGACACAGGGTGCCATGCAGTATTGCCTCAATATCACTGAACCAATGAATCACTGAATAGTTGCAGTAGGAAGGGACCTTTGGAGGTCATCTAGTCCAACCCCCTGCCAAGGCAGGGTCACCTAGAGCATCAGGAGAGAGAAGGTTATTTTAAACAGGAAAAGAATGTATATACATCGTAAATTTACATCCATTTTATTTTGTAAGCACATTCATGTGCTACCAGAGGACCAAAACAGAGTAAGCAGGAACAGTTTATTACATTATTAAAATATTGTCAACACAATTTATCTCTCTGCATTTCATTCAAAAAACTAAATCAATTACAAAAGAGGAAGGGTGATAAGAAGTAGCCAGAGACTGACTGTATCAAGACCAGCCTTGTATGTATGAATCCACAAAGTACCGAGTCCAAATGATACTGAGTACCTGCATGTCCACCCAAGAAGTGCAGAACCCACTTCACTGGACTTAGAAATTAATGGAGGGATGCCAATTTAATTGGATACCCCACAGTTTTTTTCTGGAGGCAAGATTGAAATACTTCATAGGAGATCATCTGAACTGTTCATTGTTCTCAGTAATCCTCCCATCATCATGAATTACTGCACTATGGAAGTAAAAGGTATTTTTGAAGGAGATAAGAGTCAGTTTTCCCATTAAATAAGAATTCAGTTCCAAATATATCAGACTGAATGACAAAGATTCAGAAATCCATTTCAGCTTGATGTTGCTTCTTCCCTCTGCCCCATCATATACCTGCATATTTATCCAAATACTACAGAAGAAAAATGCCCTTGTAACATGGCAGCTTATACATTAAATAGCAGGATATATGTCAAGAATTCGGAAGTTCCACATAATGTAGAGGTTAGTAAAAGAAATGGTTATGGGAATATTATCCCTGTATCTACCAAGAAAAAGGAGTACTTTTGTCCCAACATGTGACAGTTCTGCCTGCTGCTACAAGATCCCAGTGCATGCTGTGCTTACAATCACTACTTCAAAACCAGCTTCCTCTCAAAACAATGGGATATCACCAAAATTAGAAACTCACATCCTGTCATCGTTTTTTAGTGTCAGTTACCTAAATAATAACAGCACTTCAAAAAACAGTTTTGTTCAGCTTTCTTAAGTGAAGAAAAGAAAAAGGAAGCTAAAACAAAATAAATCCTTAAACATACTTCTATTGCATCTTGTAGGATAACTTATATTGTTCAGATGCAGAAATAAGTCATGAAGAGCAGCAGTGAAGTTATGCTTTTTACACGTTTTTATTACTACTCAGTTGAAGAGGTCTTTCTGTTGTTAAACAAATTTTTAAAAAGAAAATGTTAGGAGTGGTCAAAATTCTATCAAAAAACATCTTAGGAAAATTTCATTAATCATGAATTATTCTGACATGTATGGAGATATTTTAATGGCCAGCTCCCTAAGGCTCACATCATTATTTCTCATTGAAATGAGAGAAGAAAGAGGACCAGACCTTTTAGGTACGTTGAGCTCCCCTTCTCTGATCTGATGAATACCTAACTGTATTTATTTACTAGAATAACTTCAGCAGAGAAAAAACCTAAAAACTATGATTTCATACTCTGTTGTACTGAATAGCTGGACTAGGGATTTAAATGTGCCATTCTACATCCCAGGTGAGTGCTGCCTCTTTACACAGCTATTTGTTATTTTGGCTCATAGAATAAGTTGGTTATTTAGGCTGCCTCACACTTCCTCTCTCACTTTCCACAAAGAGCATCTGTACAGATTACTTTGCTTCAAGCTGAGAAGAAATTCCAAAATGTCATTTTTTTCTCAAATAAACAAAATTCTTGTTTTCTGGCCAGCCTTACAAATAATGATGAACAACAATGACGTTTCTCAAATTGGGGGCCAAATTCAGAAAATCGCTTGTGTTTAGAAGTGCACATAAGTAGTCCCAGGTGTAAAATCAGTTGCTAAAGCAGGTATCTACAATTAAATATCTAGATCAGGGTGGCCTGATTTCCAGAGCACTTGCAGCCTCAGTGAATGACAACACAATTTGCAGTTACAATTTGTGCAACTTTTAGAATACTTGCGAAAAGATAATAATTTGATATGGTACAGTAGGGTAAAGGAGTGAAAACAGAAAAATAGCGATAAAAATAGGTATGTTACATAATAGTCATTAAACTCTGCAGATTTAAGTGAACAGTTAATTTTTTTTTTTGATTTTTATTTATACATAGCCTTGTTTGCTCTGCCCTCTTACAACAAGAGACTCTCAAATAACATTTTCAGCCAAGTAATTAGATAATCAGTGATTGAGTAGTTTAGACGGTTGCAGTGAAAATGGGAATCCACCTTTCATTTTCAATAATTATGAAGAAACCTGACTTTGAAATGTAGTTCCTTCTCTTGTCCTTGTGAATTCCTATCCATCTCTTGTTAGCCAAGGCAACCAAGAAAAAAGCTGAAAGGAGACTAAAAAGGAATATGCATGTAACTACCTATTTTCCCCATTTTACCTCGTTCTTTGAGGCTCCTCTGTGGTGTTTTCCCTGTTGCTGACATGCAAGGAAGACCCAGCTGTCAGGGTTCATCTCTTTGCCATGTTGTGAATAAGCCTGCAGAGATACTGCACCATCGGGCACCTCGGTGACTTCTTCCCCTGCAGGCAAAATGCATTTTCTGCTTGACATTTCCTAACTGCCAGAGGCATGGAGAACAAAAGCCCCATATTCATGCTACATTAAAATGCCCAACATGTTTGGGATTGCAAAACATAAGTGCATGCAACAAGACACAATCTCTCCTGTTTTTCATGAAACCTGTGGTAAGAAACTCATGGTTTATTATTCATGATGACTTGCTTTCTGCATCTTCCTCTATCTTTTTTTGAAAGCTTGGGAAAAAGGTCTTTATATCTGAGCACACTCACATATATGAACCTATCTGACTCCCACTAACAGAAGCAAAACATAATAGAGGTACTATAATCCTGCACCACTTCAAATCTGAGCTTTCGAAGAAGGAGGTATTTAAAATACACCATATTCAAATGTAAATGAAGACACTACCTTCTGCAACCAAAAGCAGAGGTTTCAGTTATGGTGCTTGGTTGACATGACCTGTGTTCATCAGACAGGTTGAGAAGTTTTACAGATCTCCTTTCATGGTACTGAATCTCTTAACACTGCTGAAAACACTGACTTTCAAAAACTATAAATTAAAGAATTTTCAAGTCATTATAATGTTAAACCAGATAAGATGTGTGCTGTCTACCTGTTATTTTAACAGAAGTCCTATTCTAGTCAACAGGCTGATATCACATGAACAAAGAGAACGTTTATATCTACCAGGGCCAAGTTACTCATCTTCAATTTTTCCTCCTCTCTTCTCTATTTCATAGAATCAATCACAGAATCAACCAGGTTGGAAAAGACCTCCAAGATCATCAAGTCCAACCCTTGATCCAACACCACCGTGGTTACTATTATTCCTTGTCTATTATCCCTTTCCTCCTATTATCCCTTTACCTATTATACAAACTGAACCTGTCGTATGTTGTTTCCAGTTTTTTTCCTTAAAAAAAAAATTAATATAACAGTGGCTTGCATCTCAAGGTGATGAAAAGCAGGGTCAAGATACTAATGTGTTATGTATTAAACAGGATGAAAATTAAAAGACCTTAGGTGGTCCAAGAAGTTAGATTTCCTAAAAGGAAGAAAATATCTCCAGAAACCTGGAAGTCTTTCTTGCTTATTCCTGGTTTTCTCCTTTTTTATTTGCTCTATTTTCTCTGATGTTAACAGCTGTGGTTTGTTCTTCATGCCTGTTTGTGCAGACGATGAAAGTTAGCAAAATATATCCATAGTCTCACCATAGTGTCCCTATTTAGAAAATATAGCCCACTGAATGTCAGAAAAAAAACCCACCTGAATTTATTTTTAGATATGAAAATGACAACAGGTTTTTGATCTTTTTGAAG